TTGAAAATTACTACAGGTCTGTTGTCTAGAGTATGATGCCTCTAGTTGACAGAAGTATTCTGTTCTATTTCAGGTAACCTAGCCCTGTGTTTTCCAAAGTAAGGTACACAAAACCCCAAGAAATTGGGCAAAATAATCAATTGTAATAGGAAGTGAATATTGAAATTATTTTTATTTACAAAATAACATTATCAATATTTTTAAAAATAATACAGCTTTCTTTTTCCTAAAAATAACAAGCAGAAAGGAGAAATGATAATTAAGTTGTAAATGATTTAGCAGAAACAATTGAAAATTAAGCTAGCAAAAGTAAATTGAACTTAGATTGTTGAACTCAGAAACACTCAGAAACTTGAGATATCAGGTACTTCTGAAGGTGAGGCTGAAAACAGGTTGAGTATTTTTATAAAAAGCAGTTAAACTATCAAAACCTTTCCCTCATACCACCTATCAGGCAACTACACATTTAGCATTAGAAAATAAAGAAAATTTGTTCTTTGGAGTGTTTAATCCAGACAAATTGGGAATCAATGGCACCAGGCATTGCTGAAAGTGAGTTTATTGAAAAGAAGAGAATTAAATGAAAGTCTATCTACAGAAAGTTCAACTCAACCTCCTTTTCCACCTGACTACCAAACTGCTCAAATTGGCAGATTCTGTGTTGAAACTGATTGGCCCCAGAAAAGTAACCTATCAACGCTGACAAATCCCCATCTCAAGAAAAATATAGTCAAGAATGGTCAATGAAATCTATCCCTCAATAAGACACACCCTATGCGCACAGGATTTTTTAAGTAACTTTTTAGTTCTTAAATATTGATGTAGCATTAATCTATAATTAAATAAAGTATACAACACAAAAGACCATAAACAAAACAAAACAAACAAATCCCCAAACAAAAACCAAGTACATAGAGAAAACAAAGATCATGCAGGGAAAATTTTTTAAAAAATTCATTGAGTCAAAAGTATGGCAATATGTAAATCAATGGATGTGTAACTGATGTGATTCTGCAATCTGTATACGGGGTAAAAATGGGAGTTCATAACCCACTTGAATCAAAGTGTGAAATAAGATATATCAAGAACTATGTAATGTTTTGAACAACCAACAATAAAAATTTTAAAAAAAGGTAAAGATAAGCAAATATTCCAGATAATCTAACATAAAATTAGAAGTTCCATAATATCAGAATAATAACAGAGGAGAATATTGACATTGCCCAATAAATAACTCAACAAACTTCTCAAAAGAGAAAAAATGAGACACTTGAGACTGAAAATACACCCTGACTAGGAAAAACTTTTGCACACTGTCAATAAAGAGAAGATTTCTAAATGTTTTCATCCTTTGTGTCAGCCACAAAGGATAAGAAATCAGTTTGGTATCAGACTGCTTAATAGCAAAACTGGAAACAACAAAGAGTAGAAGAGTAAATATTTGGAGGGGGAAAAAAAACGTATTTCCCAAGATCTCAAAAAATTGACCTCTTTAACTCATTCTTGGGCAGTCCTATGTGAACAACTGAGTAAATGAAGATAGAGGAAAACTAAGGAAACAGGAAGAAGGACTCCAACAGATGAGAAAGGAAATAATACTCCCTAGCTTGATTGTGAAGAGAGATCCCAGGATAGAGTTCAAAAAGAACAACTGGTTCAAACTGCAGCAAGAGGTTAAAGGTCATTTTCATTGTTTCAATTCTTTCATTATCTTTTCCATAACTTTCTTCATCAACATAATTTCATGCCATTAGTGACAGTACATAGAAAACAAAGTAAAAAGCAAATAAGCAAGATACAATTATTAACTGCTGAGAAAATAGTAAACATTTTTTACAAAGAAGATGCTATCCTGAATAATATCTACCATTTTTTAAATAATGAATCCAAGAGCTAATTGGTGGAGAAAAAAACTTATTCACCTTGATATTAACCTTAAAATCTTAGGTGTCTGAAGCATTTCATTTCCCACTAATTTGGCATCTTATACCTACAATTTTTTCTTAACATTTTTGTCACAAGGATATATACATTTAATATATACCCTGTTGAAGTAAATGCTGTGTGATTACTAAAACTATACCAACTATTTCTAAAACTATCAGATTCAAGTTTCAAGTTAATATGCAGTAGTTTTGATATTCCAGGATTTATTGAAGAAATTTATCATGTTGGTCATCATTTTAGGTTTCTTAATTACTTAAATTCCTAAAACAATTAAGTGGATTTTCTTCTGATATCCCATCTATGATTAAAATACAATCATTTCCATTTGGTTCCATTCTGAGCATAAAGAGGACTTTTCTACTTTAACCACCTTATTTTACCAGCCATCCTCAGCAATTCTCTCCTTATTCCACTTTAATAATCTTTATCATATTCCTTTACAGTCTACCTAACTTCTATAATTCTTAGTAAGAATCTAAACATAGTTATCATTCCTAATATCTTATCATGAAAAAGAAAATAATTAACATTTCTCTTATGACAATGCTACCTTATTTCTTTTACTTACTTGTTATTTAATCTGTGAATAGGCATTATTCTGTGATTATTAAAAATTTTTTCAAAGTTTAAATTTTATTTACAAAATAATTATTTAGCCTTATTTTTCACTTCACAAAAGTTCTTATTGACACCTAAGACTAGCATTTTATTGCTTCTTCTCTACCTCAACTTGTAAAACTGATATTTAGGTAAGTATCTACATGATAATTACTGAAGCATATCCAATCATGAGTTTTATGAATTGTGAAAATTCTCTTTTTAAAATTTTTATTGTTTCTTTTTAGTTATACATAACAATAGGATTAATTTTTATATAATTTAAATATCATGGAATACAATTTGCTCAAATTCAGTCCCCAGTATTTCTCTTTTCCCTCCCATCCTCCCTCTCCCTGTTCCCTTCTCTCTACACTACTGATTCTTCCACTACTTACTTTTAGATTTTTTTTTCTTTTTGGTTAGTTTCTTATGGATACACATGATAAATTTTCTTTGTACATACATGAATATACTATAGTAGAAGTTCTGTAAAGTTTAAAAATTGTAAGGAAAAGAAGAAGCTGAAGACTCCCTTGATCACACAATTCCCAGTTTTAAATAAATTTCTCTCTAGAAACAACAACAACAATAAAAAGGCAATAACAACAAAAAACAACAGTGACATTTTTATTTATATTCAACCTTTCATCTAAGAACATGTAATCTGTAAGTGACTATTACCTCATTTTACCACTGAGGCATAGAATTATAGAGATTGAATTGAACTCAAGAAGTCATCTAATCTAGCATCTATATCCAAGAATGATTGCATTTTAACAATCCAAGATTATATATATATCCTTCTTTATTTTTCAAAATTTCCAGGAACGATTTCACAACATGCCTTAGCAATCTTCTCTGATGTGCAGTATCCCTTATTTTACTTATAATTCAAATTGCAGATAAGAAGGCAACAAAACCCATGTTTCCCAGATCATTGGTAAACGTTCTCAAGTGGTTGTAGTTTTAAAACAACCACAAAAATAATTACATAAAGAAATGGTTATTTTAGTAAAAAGTTTCAGTCTCTATAGTCAACTATTCACTTATTTCAAGCAAAATTCAATTCAAAATAGTCTGGTATAAAAAAACACATCCATCTTGAGTTCATAAGAGTTGTCCCCTGTTGGTAAGAAAAATAATTTCTATTTGATATGTATTTATGAGTCTTAAAAATGATAATGGAAAATATTTACTGGGAACATAAGTATATATATGATTATTACTGAAACATATCCAATCATGAGTTTTATGAATTATGAAAATTTTCTTTGAGTGACAGGCACAATGTACTCAATGCACAATGTCACATTTAATCCTAACAGCAACTCTATGAAGTAGAGATTTCTAGATGAAGAAACTGAGGCTCAGAGAAGCTAAATTGTCCAAAATCTCATAGCTAGTGAATGGCAAAGCCAAGATACCAACCTAGACTGTCTTGTTGTAATTTACTGTCTCTCATACTTTTTTGTAATTTTTATTTTTTATTGGTTCTTTTTAGTTATATTGAACATTAGGATTAATTTTGACATAGTCATAAAAGCTTGGCATATAGTTTGTTCTAATTCAGTCCCCAACACTTCTACTTTCCCATCCTTCTTCTTTTCCCCAGTTCCCTTCTGTCTACTCTACTGATCTTTCTGCTATTTACTTATAACTTTTGATTAAATTAGTGTCTTGTGGATGTATACGATGGTGAGATTCACTGTGGTATATTCATATATGTACATAAAAAAGTTAGGTCAGATTCATTTCACTGTCTTTCCCTACCATATATTCTTAATAAATTTGAGTCACTATATCATTATTAGACTGCTTTAAGACTGGTTGAAACATCCATGAAAAGCTATATTTTTCAAATTCCTATTAGTGCCTCTGTATTTTTAATATAAAAGATGATCTGAGAAGTATATGTACTTTCTTTAAAGATGGGTATTTCTATGACAAGTAATACTACAAGTTTCATTTTTTTAAAGTTTTGTTGATTATACAATATTTCTTAGGCTTGTTCAGATTTTTTTTTTAATTTATCTGAATACTTTCAAACAAAATTTTAGTTATTTCAGATTTTGCTCATTCTTTCAAGGAGCAAGACTACTTTTAGGTCTTATTCTAAATGAAAAGAGGCATATTTGAGATTTGAAGCTAGTTTAGAGTAGCTTAATTCTAAATATCTTCTAAAATATTGAAACAACTAGAAAGTTCTTCCTGGTATAAACTATGAGCAGGTAAATGGCCAACTATATTAATCAAATAAGTATCACTGCTTTGCTAAGGTAATTCATGCTATTAGTACAGTAAGGATACTTCCAACCAGGTGAATATATGTAATGCTTTCTTGATATTTTAGTTTATTAGTTCACATTGCTATTTAGAAGGAAAAAATAACAGATTTTAAAAATCATTAAAACTTTGAAATTTGATTCATATTTCAATATTTAGTACAAAATTACCTTTTTCATTGTTTCCTTTCCCACTGTAATCTCATGCCCATCCTGCCCCATGCCATTCTTAAAGAACAGAATTCGGACTGAGGTCTTCTCAATAAGTTTCTTCATTCTAATAGAAAGTACAGGCTTGGTTTTCCGTCTTTTGACATCAGTAGGAAGCATCAGCCCACTCATTGTCCAAGTTACTTTCTTCATTAACAAAAGATGGTCTAGAAGATAGTTTTTAAAAAAGCAAGTCAATATTTGGCTTCAGAATTAAAAATGGACACATCATGCTTCCCTTCCCCCTTTTACCTATATCATACACACTGGCCAGTCTCCATTTAGATGCTGGTTTTCTGAAATACTACCACCAGCTTCCCACTAACCGTGACATAAGCTGTAGCAAGCTGTCTGCTCTGATAGCTTGCATAAATCATCATTTCTGAAGGGAACAGATGTTCAGGATATGAAAGAGTAATACCACAATTTAGTCCTAATTAAAATTCACCTTAGCATGCCTCTATTACAGATCAGATGCGCCCAGCTGAAAGGGTCCAATCCCTTTGCTGACTATAAAACAACACAGATCCTGAACTTTGTGGTGAAAAAACACCTTTTCTCTTAAATATGATTTCTTATCCATGGTGCTTTAAAGATGATGACCTCCAAATATTAACCTTATACCATAATTCTTCTTCTGTAACTAGAATGAAGGTACCTTCTAGGACACCATGTGAGATATCCAAACCATTTCACTGAAAATGAAAAACAGTTTTTCATTAACAGTTTACATTGACCTATACATTTGCAAAGATGTGTGCAGAAATTTAAGTTTCAAAACTCCCACTAATATTAATGGGAATGCAACTAAATTACTATGTATGGTTTTGAAAATATAAGGGTAAGAACAGGAGTGTGGTATATTGCATACTAAGCTGCTGTCAGCATTCCTTTATTTTCAAGATGTTTCATTTCATAAATAAATAATCTGCACCTGAGCTATTTATTTTATTTGTGCATTCACTTTATTTTAGATCATATACCTTTTCACATAAATTACAAAAGCACAAATGATCCCTCCCTCATCTGGTCTTATTTGTCCTAAAGAGAGAAGTGTAATTTTATTTACACAAAACTAAAAATAGCTGCATTTACTTGTTTGTCCAAAATTCCAAACAACGCTTCTCGGTTAGCACTTTCCTTCAACGAAGCTTGATCTCTTTGACCTAGAAAATGTACTTTAGATAAAATCTGCTGTTATTGACATAAAACACATACCAGGGGTTGCTATGAACCTTAAAGTCTCAGAGTGGTTATATTTAAAAAGTTTGTAAAATCCTCTGTGCTACCATACCTTCAGACAGACTTATAGCCACACACACACACACACACACACACACACATACATACACACAGTGAGCAGAAATATGAACAAATTTGCAGAGTAAATTAAAATTAGAAGTTTATATGTGATTAGCCTTCAAAAAGAAAAAAATTAGCATAGTTATGTGTTTTTTTCATTTTGTAATCTTAAATTGATAAGAAGTGAATTAGATAAATGATCTAGAAGTTAATGGGTTCATATATTTCCAAAGGAATTGAAAACAGGTACTCAAGTAAATATGTATACATGTAAGTTCATAGCAGCACTATTCACAATAGCCAAAAGATGGACACCAAATGCTTATCAATGGATGAATGGATAAACAAACTGATATATACATAAACACACAAGCACAAATATATATCACATATATACTAAGAAGTATTATTCAGCCATAAAAAGAAGTAAAATCACTGATACATGCTACAAAGTAGATAAATGTTGAAAACATACTGAATGCAGAAGCCAGACATAAAAATGACATATTGTATGATTACACTTATATGAAATATTCAGAATAGGTAAATCCATAGAAAAAGACATAAACTTAGGGTTGCCTGGGACTGAAAGGAGAGGGGAACGGGAAAAACTTAAAGGGAAACGAGTTTTATTTTGGACTGATGGAAATGTTCTGGAACTAAACTGTGAAAGTACTAAATGTTATTGTTCACCCTAAAATGATTAATTTTATGTTATGTGAATTTTACTTCAATAAATAAATAAAGATTGAAGAGAAGAAGTTCTAAAAGTATCTCTCAGAAAATTCTTAAAAACCTCACTGGAAAAAAAAGGCTAATGAATTCTTGTAGTTTAATGGGAGTTTACCTACCATATGGATGCTTCCAGATGCTCTGCAAAGCAGAAAAAGTATAAACTCTACATTCAAACTAGATTTGAATCCCAGCTCTTTTTTTGGTGATCCTGGATAAGTTATACATCCCTGAATCTCAGATTTCTCTTCTACCAAGTATCTAATGGACATCATTCCACAACCTGATGAAGATTAAATATCTTATATGTGAAAGTACATAACATATTGAAGTCACTCGAAATGTTAGCTTCTTCCCTCTCCTTCCTGGAATCCTGCTGTCAGAGTCTGACAAAGAAAACAAGAACCCACTGAGTATCTGGACAGAGGGGACTATGGGAACTGGTTACATAAGTGAAGGAAAAAACTGAGAGGCAATCAAATGACAGTGAGCCAAGCCAGAGATTAACAACAGCATGAAACCACTCCCATAAAGGCCAGAAAAAAGAGGTATTACATCTGGATTTAGAGAACCTTACTTAAGGGTTTTCTCTTCAATTACTTCAGCCAGGGGCAAGGATTAGGCTAAAGCAAATAAAAGAACAATACCATATAATTCAAGGAGGTATGCTCATTACCCTCACACAACCCTCTGAGTGACTGAGTGCTTCCTCAAACTTTGTCCACAGGCAGTTCACTCGCTAACTATAGTCCCAGCCTGGCACCGTCTTTGCTATATGCAAGACTCCTTGAATTCCATTAGAAATAATGCTTATTGTAAGCCAGATGCTGTCTTATGTGATTTAATACCTATAACTTATTCAGTTCTCTGAATAACATTAGGATATTGGTAATATCATCATCTTCATTTACAGGCAAGGACACTAGGGATTAAATAACTTGACCGTGATCTAGTAGTTGGTGTATGGTAGAGCTTGATATGAATTTGGTTCTAGAATTGTGAACCTAATAACACTATTCTGCCTTAACCATATATTTTCCTGCCATTATCTCAAACTCAATACACACACACACACACACACACATATTTATATGTATGTATATGAACCAAAACTTCACATCTTTCTGCACACATTAACTCACCCTTCACAGTTGTCATTTCTGTTAATGTTTCTTTCACACTTCTTTCACTGTTATCCAGAGAGACCTTGAAAATTCAATACTTATTCATTTCTCTCAAACCAATTACTTATTAATTCAATAATATTTATTGGAAGACTACTCATCAAGACACCAGGGTGACAGCTGAGAAGAGTTTAGAGCTTCTTGGTCAAGACTGACAGTGAATGGCCTCTCTGAGGAGGTGGCATCTTAATAGAGGGGTCTGCATGATGAGAAGTTCTTTGTGAAGATCTAGGGAAAGAGTATTCCAGGCAGGGTAAAAACCAAGTGCAAAGACTCTAAAATAAGAATGAGTTTGGCATGCTTGAAAATGAAAACTAAAGTTTAGTCAGATGTAGAGTTTATACAGACAAACCCACAGAGGTAGAAAGGGGCCAGATTGTGCAGGTGAAGAAAAGGGGTTTTGATTTTATTCTAGATATGATGGGAAGCTTTACATGGTTCTCAGAAAGATGCTATGTGAAGAAGAGACCATAAAGCAGAGCATAGTAGACACTGTCGGTGCCCTGCCAACATGCCTTTTACCAGGTTAGTGCACTCAACTCCAGCTGTTGAGTCCTGTCTGCTACCATTTCTTGGCTGCCCCCTTCTTCTAAGAACTGCCCTTGACTCAAAGAAACCTAGCCAGGAAATGCCTGAAAGGTTATGATCTTTTCCCTTCTAAGTGGGCAGACACCTAAAGCTAATGAGTGGGGACTAAAAGCAGTCCCCCTGCCTCAATGAGGGGCTACTCTGTGGCATCTTTCCTCCTTCAGACTGGGGCTAGACATTAGCTGAACACATGGCTTGGCTGCATTTCAGCCTCTGCTCTGTGCTCTTTCCTCACTCACATTTCAACTGAGAGAATTCCCACAGTGGGACTCCTGGACAACAATCCCCACTTCAGTCCCTGCTTCTAGGGAACATGACCTGAAACATAAAGAAGAAGGAACATCTAACTCTAAGGAAGTTTTTCCTCAGAGTAACTCTTAGAAGAAATAATTTCTTTCCATTCCCAGCTGGACTCACTTCATTTCTCTCTCAGCCTCTTATCATTTGCAAGAGCTTCTTAATTGTAGTTACTTTTCCTCCATCACATCTGACATTCCATAGTCTAATCACAGCTGAATTTTCATAAAATATCAATTTTAAAATTGCCTAAAGGAAAAGCTCTTAGAGATAGGTTTTGAAGTTTATCCACTTATCAGTCAGCCAGCTGGTCTATCTGTCAGACAATCAACACATAACTGCTGAGCCCATCCTATGTGTCATATTCTATGCAAGTAAAATGAAAAAAGACATGAAGTCCCTTCCCTTAAACTTTATCTAACAGAAGAGTTCACAATCTCATACCATCCAAACTTCCTGATCTTATCTTACCCTAGTTTAGAGCCCTCATCCACTTAAGTCAATTGATTCTTTATCCCTTGAGAACACAATGTTCATTTTTAAACTCCACCTATTCAGACTCAAGTAATTCTCAAGATCCAGTTTAAAATCTTCCCTTTTTGCTCCAGCACACAAAGACCTGTCATCTCTTTGAACCCGAAGAGCATTTGGAGCCTGTGCCACCCACCCACACATTCATTCATTCAATAATGTTTGAAAGCCTACAATATGTCAGGCACTGTACTAGAACATACTTACATGGAGTTACTAAATGTTTTGTAAGTATGTATCCTAGTTAATGTTTTATAAGTAAATATCCTATTTCTGTTCCCATATTTAAACCCTTAAAAGGCAAGAATCAGGGTATAGAATGCTACACATGGTTTAGAACTCGATGTTACCTCTTCCTAGGCATTTAACTGACTCAATGATAGGAATTTGGTTTTATGCCACTTTTCATAAACATAGTAATTACATAATGTAAACTTTATTGCTTATGTGTATATACATCTGCCACTTTTATTCCCCACCTGTACCCAGTATGAACTTAAATATGATTGATTTACCACCCTGATGGTCATTGA